GATACTAAATTCCGATTGAATAAATATATAAGCTATGTTATGGCTGGATATTCGAAGTGGTAAGGTGGCATGGTGGAGCCACTCAAAGTCTCAAATACCTAGATATGGATGTCCCGCATTGCACTCACCTCCTTTACATTTTTTGGGGATATACCATCCCCACGGGAACACACCAAATCACCAATTTAAAGTATAGTTTTAAATTACTGTAATTTAGAATAATTTTTTTCTGTGTAATGGCATAAAAAAAAGGAAGTATAAAACATTAATTAGTGTATCTAGTATTTAATTTTGTCATTTTCAAAAGGAATCCCTTTTCAAAAAAATAAGTTTCAAGTTTTTCATTTTAAAAAAAAATAAGTTTTCAATTTAATTTGTAGCTTATCCATTGAATATCAAGAGGTGCCTTGATTGATGTGTAGTACTTGAAAATTGAAACAACCTGTTATAACTAGCCATTTTACTACAACAGTTACTCATCATGAAGAAGGGTGGGAGAAGTTAAAAGGATAATAGTGGCTCCAGGTATTACGTATCTATTAATTGCGTTGACGCTTCCTCTACCACAGGAAATAAAAAACTGACAATAGAAGGAAGTATCAGTTCATATATATAAAGACTCCATAAACTGGATATTAATAATATAATTAGTTATTCACAAACCAGAGTTTGCCTCCATTTCTTCTGACAGTTGAAAAATGGACCAAACAGAAAATATGGAAAGCAATGATTCATTGTACATTGATGAAAATGTGCTGAGTGATATTTTTAGTAGATTGGATCTTGAGTCAATTAGACGATTCCGTTGTGCGTGCAAGACCTGGGAAGAACTTCTTAAGCTGCCAGATCTTGTTACAAGAAACCGTGATATGTACTACAATGGAAGTACAGAGCACTTCCTTACCTTCACTCAGAGAAATATGGAAATTGACAGAGATCGATAAAGCAGGTTGATGTGGCAGAAAGTAGAATGATAATAAAGCATACAACTATAACAGAAGTTCAGAGTAACAAGAAACTGACAATTTATCCATAGAGGAGAAACGAGGAGGATGATATCCACAAGATTATGCCCATTACAACTGATTTGGTGTGCTTCTACCTTGTAGATGAAATCAAATTTCTTAACCCGACGATTAAGATAGATTGCAACAGTTGAGTGGCCGAAGATTATGGACTCCCTTTAAAATTGTGCAAAGGCTTTTGGGTATAGATCTTCTAGAAATGAATACACCTTTATGACACTATGTTTCCCTCAAACTCATGGATATTTCTATGGATGTACCCTTTCATTTGAGCCTTGTTCGTGGATAGATCAAGTGCGTTGGAAAGCAGTGAACAAGTTGTGTCCCTATCGTGTTGATGACGGAATTTGGATGGACAGATATGTTTATTGGCCGATTGATAAGCTCCGCAGCTATTTGGGACCAAAGTCTACGGAGTTGCTGGTTTCATTTGACATGAAGACTAAGACTTTTCAGGTAATTCACGCACCTCCAACTCCTATGTTCTTTACTGTTAATTATTTCCCTAGAGTCAAGATCATGGATTATCGAGGAACTATGTGCGTAACTGAGGAGAATTACATTTACATGAGAGATATGAAGTTTGAATGTGGGTCTGGGAATCAAATGAAGACAATTCAGAGAGTTGGAGATGGAGAAGGGTTTTTGAAAACCGAAATTTCCCCGTCGCAGATCTAACAGCTTATCCTGATACTTTTCCATACAATGGGCAATGGGCATATTCTGCCATCCTCAGCCACAAATCTTCTCCTACTGGAGAATTCATTTTGAAGGGCCTTGATCCATTCCATCTTCAATTGTATAGTCCTGATAGCGTAGATGTTAAAAATATTTTCCACCCTCTTGAGTTAGATCACAGTTATGTCATCGCAGCATGTTACTATTGGAGGACGTTGACATATTTGAGAATGTGATTATTATTATTGTACCTGTTTTACTAATGTTATTATTTTGTTATTCCATTAAATTTGTTTTTGTTATCAAAATTTAAATTAATTAATTATTATAATTATTTATTCAAAATAAATATTTCAAATATTCTGTACACAGAATCGGATTTTTATAAGAATATATATAAAAGAAAGGGATAAAAAATAGCTCCCAAAAAGTTGGAAAACATTATTGCCCCCAAAGTGGGAAAATATAGGGGCCAAGAGGGTTCGAAATCAATACCTCTTGACAGGGAAACTGGGAAAGAGACAAACAATTTTACTACCAGACCACTTGCTCCTTTAGTTCATATTTGATACTACATTTTCTAAACAGTAATGGATCTTGTATAATTTAGATAATTCTATATTTTATTAATTAATGGAGTTAATTAGTTTATTAACAAAAGTATCATTTAACAAAATTAATTTATTAACTGTTTTATCTCTTATTAATAACCAAATTATGCATCATATCTTAATAATTTTATCATAAGTACAATCGATTAAGACATTGACAAAGAACCTTAGTACTATGATTACTAAGGATTTGTTTGGCTAACATTTTGTTTTAGTTTTTATTTTATTTTTTGATTTGGGTTTGAGATGTGATTTAAAATGTGATTTGAGAGAAAATTTTAAAAGTTGTTTAGCTAATATTTTAAATAAAATAATAATATTTTGAGACCACCATCGGACCACCTCCACCACCGGCTCCGCCGCCGAACCGCCCACCGCCGCCGGCCGGCAACCGACGAGTTGGCCTGAATCTAGTCGGCCGGTCACCGGCAGCAGCGGTGTAGCGGCGGCAAATGGCGGTCCGGCGGTGGCGGGTGGTGGTAGAGGTGGTCCGGTTGTGGTGGACGGAAATTGTGTAAAAATAATTTTTGGAATATTTTTTAAAAGGTAAATTAAAATGTTAATTGGATAGTATTGGGATTTGTGTTTGAGAGGTGTTTTAAAAGTTAAAATAAGACAAAATGGCAAAATGGGTGTTGTCCAAACAAGACCTAAATTATTATAAATATACAAAATATTGTTAACACTATTACGCATTGCATATCATATGTATTACAGTTAAGTACTCGCATCACGTTATCCTTATTACCATACACATATCATTTTTCATAGTGTTAGAAACGTTATGGAGTATCTTAGCATTGTTAGCTATTACAATTCATCTCTATTAGTGTTGTGGTAGTTTCAACATTTTTACGTGTTTAACACTAATTGTGATAAGGTTATGTATTAATTGTAAGAATATTAGATATATTGGTGTCGAGTTCAAGTGAAAACCAATTAGTGTTGGGTTCAAGGATGTAATTGTAACTATTGGAGTTCTTATAGGAGTTGAGCTTGAAAATATTAACATAGAAGGGTACCATTCAAAATTATATATATTTTAGTAAGGGTATAACTGAAAGAATTGAAATTCATTTAGGGGTTGAGATTATAATATAACATAAGGGTGCCATAATATAATTTGAAGGGTGCCATAATGTAATTTTAGTAAGCGTTTTTTGTCTCAATTTGTCTCATACTAATCAACCACCACCTGGCCACCTCCACCACCCACAACCGCTGCCAGTCTACATTGCTACGCCGTCGGACCATGACTGATACCGCCAGCCAGCTACTGGCTAAATTCCAACTTAATCGCCGGGACTTGGACAAAATCATGCCGGTCGGTCTATGGCCGGCGGTATCCCGGCTGCGTAGTTGGGTGGTGGAGGTGGTCTGGCGGCGGTAGAAAAAAAGTATGGTGGGTGCCTTTGTCTTATTCATTTTTTCACTACCTAATCTATATCCTAATCTACCATTATTCAAATATCGAATATTTTCTTAGTTTATGCAATGTTGTGTTGTCAAATCGACATCGTTGTCGTATTAAACACTATGGAAAGAGCCAGGTTGTCCATATTCCACAACTGACAACCCCATTCTTCAACCCTTCATAGGCAGTTTGTGGATTAAATCATGTAACAAGGTTAGTGCACAAAATTTGTATTTATGAAAGGAATTAATGGGTTAAAGTATAGGCATTTCAGTTGATTATGAAGAGAAAATATTTATATATATATATATATATATATTTTTTTTTGCATTACAACATTTCAATTCTTTTTTTATACCAATATAATGTCACTTCCAAATTTTCTCTTCCTACATTGTACAATGGGTTTAAATTTGTTAGTAATATAATAACAATATAGAAATGTATTTGTCTATGTTAAACAGTGAATAGATATATTGAATCAGTGGGGAAGTTGAAATAGTAGATTTGGGAAAATGGTCAATCGGTAATAGATGAAGGGGTCAAAGGAAATGAGAGGTCCAATAAATATCGCCACCTCAGCTCAAAAAAAAAGATATATAGTTAATAGCTGAATCTCAAGCAACAGTATTTCCACATTTTCTCCAACATCAGAAGTATACTACATTTCTAGGATTCGCTGAAAATTTAAAGGGCTTTCTGGAAGCGGCAAGGATTCTGGTTTTGAAAGGTCCGAATTTTTTGGTTAAATTTTTTTTTTACTGAATACATTAATTTGTATCTTTATTTTTTTTGTGTTTGTTTTGGGGGCATACTTGGGTTCTAAAAATTGGCTTTCTAATGTAATACTAATGGGTAAGATTCTATTTCGTTGTAGTTCAATATGAATTGATGGAGGGATTAAATAATCAGCTTTTATCTTTACCAGATTGTTAAAAACTGGACTATGAAAAAATCTGGGAAGTGGAAATCTAAAGCCAAGGCCAAGTTTTAGAAGGAACTGTAAGTGTTAATTTATTGGTTCTAAGTTTTTTCCAAATTGTTTATAAATCCATATAGTTATATGAAACCTATGTTTACGTATGTCAGCGGATTCCATCAGCTTTTATGTATAAACATGGGCATAAACTTGGTAGGTGGTTACTTTGAAAAACTTCTGGGGTCGTAAATGGAAGGTTACCTTACGCCATACAGACTCGGGAACTAAATTAATGGGCCAAGGTTTGAAGAAATTGAACAGGAGAGAGGAATTGTTATATACTTGTTTTTACAATGACGGATAATGCCAAGTTGCGGGTTGGTATATTTGATGGCACTGCCACAAAAGTAGACTGCAGTGGTAAATGTAATGGTTGGCGCCAAGATAAAGATAAAGGTAATATAATTAATCAATTCGAGGTGTTTTTTTTTCTGTGATTATGAATTAAAAAATTTCACAGCTTGATGATTTTGTTGTAGTTCCCCTTTAACAATGGTTGAGAAGGTCTAATTATGAATGTTGTTTGCAGAACCAAGGTCTGAAGAAGAGGATACTGCTTTTCCATGGTTTTAATTTATAGTCAGGAAGAGCACACTCAATTGGCCATTTGAGTTGGTTAGTAAAAGAAATTTATTCCTTTTTTCACTTTCATTTTATCATGGTTTCATATTTATACTGTTACATGGTTTGGTTATTTTTGTGAATTGTTGAAATTTTGCAGCATGTACCGGCTACGTTTGTCAAAACTCACCTAGCCGGGGAGGAAGGAAAGATCAAAATTGTGATAGAAGAAGCTCAATCTGAAAAGGAATGGAGTTTTCTGCTGGATGTTCAAGGGAATCTTGGAAAGATTTCTGGCATTGCTTGGAAAGAGTTGGTGCAACAGATGGACATTGACAGGGGTGATTTATGCGCACTGGAATGGGTCAAAGGGGATAACCTGTTTTATTTCCACATCTTGGAAATCAACCATGTGTAACTCTAGGGATTTATGATTTTTGTGAATGTTTCCCATCAGTAGTTGGGCATTATGGTTGCATTGTAGTACTTCTGACTATGTTCCATGTCTTTAGTTGGGCATTATGGTTGTATTGTAGTACTTTTGACTGTGTCCCATGTCTTTTGTATGCAAGCACACATTAATTTTGGTAACCTCACAAAATATATTAATGTGGCAATTATAAAGGGCAAAAGAGGGTAATTCCCAAATTATCCATGGATGTATCATTAGCCTTTCAATTATAATTATGGTTGCAAATGCATGTTTATTTGTCATGAATGGGGGGAATTCGATTTCATCAGTTGCATAGTTAAGGATGCAATTTTTAGAATCTGATGAACCATGTTCCCGTTTTTTCTGTTGAACGATCCTTATGCGACCTCCATTCAATAAAAGAACCTTGACACCGCTTTCAAGAATCTCAATTCCACTTTAGTTGTGCTTTTTAAATGGTGTATAATAAAAACGACGTCGTTTCAGCTATTACTTCAAAAACCAAGGACTAAAAACCACTACATTTCAAGAACATAAAAATTCAAGAACACAACACACTTTTAAAATCCGAAACCTTCAAATATATAAGGTACATAACACATTGTTTAAAAACCAAATTAACCAAAATCAAAGCATTCATCAACATTACATGTCTTTCTAGGATTTTTTCAAAAAACGTTTACATGACAGTCAACCAAGAGTGGCACATCAGATGTCCTAGAGACCTTGGATTTCATCGAAACTTTTGATGGCTGCACACCTGCTGAGTTTCCTCCCAACGATTCCAGTGGACGCGTAATCATTTTCTTGAGCAACCCAGACATATAGGGAATCATTGTGAGTAACAGGCCAATCCTGCTTCCCATGATGATCATTCTTATAAGCCTGATGAAATACAAGAGCATTTGTGAATCCATCAAAACCACTTCTAAAATGAACAATACCTATTGCCGAATGGCCAGTTTCATCATCCCACAATAGCTCCACTTTTGTCCGACTAAAACCTTCAAACAAAAACTTTTCACGCATAGCCCTGCCACTCGGTCCAACAAACTTCCCACAATCGAGTTTTCTAGCCAGGTTAACAACAATAGTGATTGGAGGGTAAACAAAGCGGTCCTGTGGATTGTGAGATTGAAGGGGATCCACCGCTACTTCTGCATGATGAACTGCCGGTACTGGTATTCAGTGCGAGGGACGGGTGCGAGATCATCTAGTAAATATCTCGCCAATGCAAGATGATTCGCTCGCTTTTGCATCGAATTTTTCCCCGAACGACCTGGCCCATTTGCATGCTGTGGAAGGTCAACGTATTTCAAACTTGCTCTTTTTTTTTTTTTTACCTTTACAAAAAGGGCAAGTAAATTTGTTCCCACAAACTCGATCTTCCTAACCTCCATTTCCCAAAGAATTATACAAACTATCTGTCCGTTCATCAAGCTCTAACTCACTGAAATCACTATCATCTTCGGAGTTAGAGTGTGATGTTTTTGACATCTAAAAAGAAAATATTTGTTTAAGTACTCATAACCCTCCAAAAAACAAAGGTATGAAACAAACATGAAGGTTCCTTTCTCCCTTTTAAAAATTGCCTCGTCTATATGAAGAAAGACATGATGGTCCCTTTATCGCTGATTATTTGGCTGATAGTGACATTTGGTTCAAAACCTAATGAGCTGGTTTCAGGTTTCATCTACATTCCTGATAGTTACAATACAATATACAATCCTGATCTTCATCATATTTGGCAATAAACTACATTTCACATAACTAATAATAATAAGACAACTATATTCAAAAAATCAGTAGTAGTTACTTGATTAACAGTAATAATCTCCATTCCATGTAGGAAAAACGCCATTCCACATAATCAGAATAATGAATAAGACAAGTATGTTTAAAAAAATAGTTTGCTTTACTAAACTAAGAAATAAAATCCCCATTCCAGTGAATCACAAGACTGATAAATATTATTAAACTAATATGCGAACCGAGCAACTACTAAGTATGGCACTATAAATATAGATCTTTTCATTCCATAAAAAAATGCACCACTAGATCTCCTACTTCTCTTAAATCGACAAACATTTTTCAAATCCTAAACACCAACGTGGCAAATTATTGGAGTATATACTTTGATTTAATGGAATATTCAAATGCATAGTAATTATCGGGACCACAGCATCTTACTACAACAGGAGAACAGAATTGTCCCATATCTACGGTAAAAAAATGCATTGAAACAAATGTGAAAAGGATAAGAATGGGATTTTTGCAAGTACCTTATTAGAATTGGGGTTTCTAGCCAGATTTGGGAAAGGATAGTTGGAGATGCATCCCAGAAGGTTGACCTAAATCGACAAACAATCGCAAAAGGCAAATAATGGTCCCTTTCTATTATATCCACCAATTTATTGTGTGGTGGGAGATGAAGTGGAAGGACAAATTAAATGCACCTTTTCATATACGAATCTTGAGGTGAGATGATTAAATTACCTCAAACGTGGAAGCTATGAATTTTCCAAGACTTGATAACTTGCGATACCAATGGAGAAGGCTCCAAATCACACGAAATAGAGAAGAAGAACGAAGAAGAACAATGTAAACCACAAAAATTAGTACAAAAGTAAAAACGGAAGATTCGAAAGATGAAGAATTGTGTTTTGGTTAGCAACCCAATCAGTTCCTCTCTAACAACCCCATCCCTTCGATTTATGGATAGAATGGCCAGCGAAAAGGCTCCAATGAACAAACTAACAAAGCTACACATGTGAAAAATATTTAAAATTATACGCGCGCGTCAACAAAGTACAAAAAAGTGTGCAATGCACTAATCTTCAAAAAAAATAGAAAAAGAACAAAGAGTTTCCTCTCGTTTCGTATTGAAATATCAATAATCATCAAACTATATATATATATTTGAGTCAACCAGCCCCCTTTATATAGGCATAGGTTGGCTTGGACAAAAAGAAAACCGAATACAAGTTCAAATCGGATTATAGATTTAAATAATAATTAAATAAATAATTGCACATGTCACAATTATTTAAAACCAACTAGAATATGCTAGAAGGCTAGGAGGGTCGGCCAAAAGGGTTAAATGACCGGAAAATCCTTTTCCTAATCGAAATAGGAAGATACGAAAATTCTGTCCGACTTCGTCGACTTGATTGTCGACCGACAAGTCAGTTGACGCGCGACTGTCGACCTTCCCGTCGACTTCCTTTGCTCGGCCATGAACTTGACGGCATCTTGTCGACTTCTTTGTTGATTTCCTCTTCTCGGCTACAACGTCGACATGCACCTTGTCAGCCTTCTCGTCTATCTCATTTGCTTGGTTATTATGTCGACGCGATCTTGTTGACTTCGTTGTCAACTTGATTCTACCTTGACACGAATCATATTTTGGCTTCAATGTTCCATCATACTTAATTCCAACCTCAATATGATACCTTAGACCCTCTAGCTATGTGATCACAATCAATATAATGATCATCATAATTAGGTATAACACTCAACGGGCCATTCAGGATAACATCATTTTCACTTTTATAAAGAAAAAGAAAAAGAAAATAAAACTATAAAAAAATAACTACACCTTTCATATTGGCCTTTTGGGATTTGGGGGACTAATGTACACCACTTTGACTATATGACCTCTCATTTGGAAGGGATTATTTGCCTACTCATATATTTGTAGGTTTAAATCCCATTATCATTTTGTTTCCCTTTTTGAAACAAAAAGAAAACCCCCTCCATCCAAACAACATCTCCAGTCACATTTTAAATCACACGTCAAACAAATAACTAGTAATTGGTTTTCCAAATAACTAAATCGAAAATTTAAATACTCCCGGGAAGTAAGAAATATTGAGTACAATCATCTCAACCATATTGCTAGATGCTGCTAAAGAAAGCAAAACCAATGTTCAAATTACAACCATCATATGCGAAACAGTACAATCATCCCAAGCATATTGCTACAAGCTGCTGAAGAAAGCAAAATCAATGTTCCAATGTCTCCTCCGGCTCAGAGATTGGCCATTCTGAATACAACCACCTTACTATTTAGCATATTAGATGCTATGTCAAAAGTTAACTGCACAGGCTGGTTCTCTTGGATCAGGTTGTCTTCAAAGAACTTCTTCCAGTTCCCGGATAATTCCTTCTGAATTATAGAACCAGGGTTATCCACTGTGGTTGTTATTCGGAATTCTGCTGCTTCCTTTGGACCTTCAACCCTGGCAGCTTCTTTTGCCTCAAGTGTGTGGCGGCGCACAAATTTGACATGAATGTTTTGCACTCACCATTCTTGGATTATATATTGTGTCACAACTCACAACTATGATCGTCACATAAACAAAAACAAAAACAAGACTCACCATTCGATATCTAGCCTTGCGTGACCGACCAACACCTAGTTTGAAGCTATTGTCAGGGTTCTTCTCCAAGTTTTGTCTCGAATTTTTCACCCCTGGCCTGATGTCATCTACTTCTCTATCACCGTCACATCCCTACAAAATAAATGGAGAATCGTTTTAGCGTAGGATTACGGCAATCCCTTTCAAAAATGCTAACTTCCAAACTCTACAAAACAACAAAATCAAAAGCATGGGACAGGTCATTTCGTGCCCGATCTTCCTCCTCTAGACCAATATCAATTGGAGAAGTTGCTGAGCTTCCTAGCCCCCCCACGGGAGTTTCTGCCCATAACAACCTCCGCGTAAGTCTCTGGCTAAATCTCCTTGGATTGGGGGTAGTAGGACCTAGATTCTGTTCACTGACCTCGCTACATCGGCCCATTTTGTTTCGAGTAGGGGGGAAGCTTTGACACCTACAACAAGATGAATTACAAAATGCGTTAATAATTGTTTAACTATTATCAAGAAAATGAACATGGTCAACCGTAAATGATACAACAAGTGTACCATTTTCATGGCGGGCGATTCTTTGTTGGGGTCTTCATGGGGCTATGACTCTACCACCGGTGAAACAACGGAGTTTCCTACGTCCTCAGGTAGACCATTATTTTCTGTTGCCTTCTGTCAACATAAGAAAACAACCAATTTTTTAGTTTTTGTTTAACTATTAATTTTTTCAACAACTTATGACAATCACATTACCTATCCTTCTGCACATTCATGTACGAGGTGTCCAGAAAAATCACAAAATGAACATTTCATGCTTAACCGAGTACACTCCTCCCACTCTCCATGTTTAAACTCCCCATAACAGTATTCACAAATCCATCTAGATACTGAACACTCTCCCCCAAAAAGAATATTGTTCGTAATCATCAGGAACTAAGTTGACTGCCTCTACCGCTGGCTCATCAGGTGCAGTAATGAACTTCGATGATTCCTTATTTTGATCTTTCCTTTCATCCATGTCTAAATTTCCTGAGCAGTCTGCACGTGGTTCAAGAGCACTGTCTGCTGCATCATCATGCTCTTTGTCAGAACTTTCCTTTTCTAACCAACGTGTTAATTGTTCTTGAGGGCATTGAGCGGTCCGATGACTGGTCATTTCACAATATTCACATGGCACAGATTTTGCTTGTGGAACAACATTTTCATCTTCTCCATCCACTGTAGTGGTCACTGGAACATCTGCACCTTTATCTTCATCAAGAATATGAAATTTTCCTTTCCGCCTAGTTCTGGACACCCGGATAATAGGAAAATCTTCATCATCATCTTCAACAAGAATATGTATTTCTTTCCGCTTAATTCTGGACACCGAGATAGCAGGATCATTTTCATCTTCATCACGAAGCTGAAATTTTCCTTTCCCCTTACTTCTGGATACCAGGACCACGGGATCATTTTCATCTCCATCAAGAAGCTGATTTTTCCCTTTCCTCTTAGTTCTGGACACCGGGATACCAGGATCATTTCCATCTCCATCACTAAGCTAATTTTTTCGTTTTCGCTTAGTTTTGGACTACCAAGATCATTTTCATCTTCATCACGAAGTTGAAATTTTCCTTTCCCCTTATTTCTAAACACCAGGACCACGCGATCATTTTCATCTCCATCAAGAAGCTGATTTGTTCCTTTCCACTTAGTTTTGGACATCGGGATGCCAGTATCATTTTCATCTTCATCACGAAGCTGGAAATTTCCTTTACGATTCTTATTCTGCTTCTGCTTAGCACCCTTTTGAATTTGTTGCTGACCCTTACCCTAGTGCCATAAAGATGGGGACAACACATCACGGTTTTGTTTAAAAGTATAGAACAACAACAAAGTCTACAAACAATGATGTGAATAAAGATATTGTTCTATGCAATCACAATGCACTTAAGTTTTATACATAACAATCAGAGTATTAACTCCGTAGAATATGCAAGTTTTGTATTACATCAAGTTAAAGTTAAACCGAAATATGGAGGTTTCATTTCAGAACCATTTTGCCAAGAGCTTAACCTATACTTTACATTGTCTTGCTTGGCTGCTTCCTTCCTCTTTTGTAATCTCCTTTCTAGTGCTGGACAAGACTTTGCTTTGTGCCCTCTGCGTTTGCAGTATTCACATTGACTGTTTGGGAGTACTTTCTTTCCTCTTCCCTTTTGCTTAACCATCTGTTCAATTATCAAGCCATTCAAACTAACACAATCAAGAACTCATAACCTTTGAAGAACATATACAAGTAGAAAAGCTTACATCATCAGCCAAAGGTTCAATTGCAAACCATTTGGGTGCTACTCGCTTCTGCCCAACTAAGGGCCTCTCACTCTCCTTGCCATCATTCTGAGTAACAATTCCAAACTTTCAATTATTATCACAAATAATGGTAAATAAACACATAACACAGGTTGAATTAGGGAACAAAGTTCAGTAACAAAAAAATACAATTTCCACATGATAATTACATGTTTCAAATCTGGGCAGTTTTTCCTACTATGCCCCATAAACATTACAATTACTGCACTTGTTGCGTCCCCGACCCACCTTTCTACTGGCCTTATACCAGCCTTTTTGGTTCTTGTATACTTGGTGGGGTTCATCATGTCGCTTATTCCTACTGCCCTTCATTCTTCCTAGCATGGGTCTAAACTCTGGAGGCAACAGGGCTGGGTCTGAGATTTGCTTCTAAAATTTAGGACCATTCATCCCCCAGATACTATTTGCATATGCTCTCAGGTACATCTCCTTTGAGTACCATCTGTCAACATAATCTTTCCCCTTTCTCCCGTCATCAACAATGCATCTTACTGCATGTGGGCTTGGAATATCAGACAAATCCCACTTCCGGCAAGCACAACTCAGATATTCCGCTCTAAGGCACACAACAACCTGTTCATTTACTCCCCTCACCTCATACTCACCATCACCACAATATTCAACATAACAATTAGATTCTTGCCGGGATTCTCTAAACGGGTCATGATTTTGTTGCCAAATTCAAATGGTGACTTTTCAATTCGCTCACTAGTCTCGCGGTATTTAACCATCAAATATCGCCTCAACCACTCCAACAACCCAAGGATTTGTATTTTACGGGCTTTTACCAAAACACTGTTGAAGCCTTCATATATGTTGTTCACCAACATGTCACACATTGTCTCAGTCAAGAAATGTGACCTGTACCAGTGACTTGCTCCGATTCCATGAAGATACCTCCATGCTCCTTCATCCTTCTTTTTCAAATCATCCATCAGCTTGTTTCATTCCTCTTCAGTTGCTTTCGCAATATTCTTCAATCTGGCTTTCAATTTCAATCTGGGGTGCTTTAGCTTGAAATTATTCCATAAGTGCTCCAAACAGTATCTGTGGGACAAATTTTTCAAAAGTGTAGCAACAGCTGGAAGAAGACCCTGAAAAAATAATTCATGTCAAAGCCTTAACATCCACACCAAATTTCAGTATCATGAATACAATTGCTTTACACTCATTTACATTCTCAATGGATATGCATGTTATAAAACACAAATTTAATATTTACTCTCGTACCTTTTGCCGGTCTGACATGATGACCCATTTAGGCGTATCAGTTATTCCCAAGTCATCAATGAGGTATTCTAAAAGCCACTTCTATGAATCTTCATTCTCTATCTCAACAATAGCAAATGCAACAGGATATATCTGGTTATTAGTATCGTATCCCACAGCTGCAAGGAGCTGGCCCCCAGTTGGAGTCTTCAAGAAGGTACCATTTACACCAATTAGTTTCCTAAATCCTTCTTTGAAACCCTTTTTTGAGGCTGCTAAACACATGTACAGTCTCTGGAACCTACAGGGATTGTCTTTCCTAGTCATAAGCTTAATTGTGCTACCTGGGTTTGCCTTTTCCACTTTGGCCAAATACGATTCCAAATATACATAATTCTCCATACCTTTGTTTATGTCAAGTGCCTTCCTCTTAGCCCTCCAGGTCTGGGTTCTTGAGATCTTCAATCGATGGTCCTTCTTAACCCTATGTTTAATGTAGCAAGCATTGAGGGTAGGCTCCACTACTAAATCTTCAAGGTACCACTCGGCAACCACATGGGAAGTATAGTTCCTTGTTTTATCTAGTCTTGGACAAGTGTGTTTGTCTTGGTGAGTCCTAACCTGAGACATCGGTTCATTTGGACTCACCCTAACTGCATACAGTACCCAACTGCATCCCACCCCTTTGCAAATTGCCCTAACATACTTGGAGTCATGCTTTTTGAAGGTTATATTTCGCCTATCAGCAACTAAATGGAGCTTGATATATCTAATAAGTTGCCACTTATCCTCAAAGTCATGCTATACCTCAAATCCGGGATATCTCATATCATCCATAGGTACATACCTTCTTCCCTTCTTTAAATTCTTTCCACCTCTATTTGGATCCTGTGCAAATGATTCCTCTGATCTATTTCTGAACTTAACAATTCAAATGAGTCACAATCAGCCTCATGATCTTAACTTTCACCTCATCCAATTTTGGGTCCTTGTCAAACAAACACCACGATTAAACATGGACCGATGCATCAGCTTTTTCCCGGTACTCAAGATCCATGTCGCCCGCTTCATGATCACTGTCCTTGACTAGGGGTGTATACGAGCCCAGTCGATCACGAGTTTACCTATGCCCGAGCTCGGCTCGAGCAATTTTTAGCCTTGCTCAAGCTCGACTCGAACTCGAACGAGCCTAAATTTTATGAGCTCGAGCTCGGCTCGCCCATTTATTATTGAGCTTGAATTTGAATCGACTCGGCTCGGTGCTGAAAATTTCGGTCAGCTCTAAGAAGTAAAAGGACAAAAAATATAATAAGAAGAAAGAAACGAAACAATGGAGGGGTAAAACCCAAAATCTTCAATCCACAGACCATGAACAAAAACTATGTTCCAATCTAAAAAGCCCAAAAAAGACTACCAAAAAGAAAAAAATGTAAATCCTTTAGGGCTTAGGATAACTCCGAAATTTGGTTAGAAGTTCTTTGAAATCTTCAAATTGATGTATTGTTCCTGAAACATGAGATTTAAAATCTTCGAATTTGAATTGATCTACGACTTCAGTGATCTATGACTCCAGTGAGATCTAATTACACATCTTTGATTTGAAGCCACAAAACTAATTTGAGGATGAAAAAGACTACCAAAAAGAAAAAAATGTAAATCCTTTTGGGCTTAGGATAACTCCCAAATTTGGTTAGAAGTTCCTTGAAATCTTCAAATTGATGTATTGTTCCTGAAACATGAGATTTAAAATCTTCGAATTGATCTACGACTTCAGTGATCTATGACTCCAGTGAGATCTAATCACACATCTTTGATTTCAAGCCACAAAAATAATTTGAGGATGAAGAAAGAGTGGGTTGAGAACTCATGTGTTCGATTTTTTGGACTCGGATTGGGAGGGATAATCAATAATCTTGAGTTCCAAATTTCCAATGTTAGATAACTTGTGGTTAGAGAAGATAAGAAGACAGATGAAGATTGGAATTGGGGAGTCAAAAGGGAAAATGAAAATCACACATCGTGAAAGATGAAAATTAGAAAGATTTAAATATGATATGTATTACGTGTTGGGATGAGGGGCATGTGGGTGCCAACTGTCAACTAGGTAGGTAGCTTCTTGATAGGAATGTGATAATAATAAATTAATTTATAAGTTTAAAACATATATGAATGAAACTCGAGTAGCTCGACGAGCCAACGAGCAAACTAAAAGCCAACTCGAACTCGGATCGTTTAATTTTCAAATCAGCTCGAGATTGGCTCAAACTCAGTCAACTCGAGTTTGAACCAAGCTTTGACCGAGTCGGCTCGCGAATAACTCGCGAGCGGCTCGGTTTGTTTATAGCCCTATCTTCGACACGATCTCCATTGACATAATCATAATCCACTTTAAACCCAATTTTTTCAACTCCACCATAATCAGATTTAGAATCACCAGAATCAGACTCAGAAGCAGAAGCACCATCAGAATCACTTGAATATTCATTGTCATCATCACCATAATCCTGATCCCCATATATCATACACATCATAATCCACTATCATCAGCACAATCACCCTGTTCCTCGATGACGTTAGAACACTGGCCAATTAAAGGATCTACGTATCCTAGGCCAATCCTGTATACATCTATCCCTTGCAGTTTCTGAACAGTACTGTCCCACAACATTATCTTAACATCCTCACATCCAAGTAAATACTTGAATCCAGAATGTTCAATCCTGTTTCTATCCTTATAAAACAATCTGTGGGGTCTGTTGCTACACACATAATCAAAAATGACCTCAAAGCCTCCATGGTAATATTAGGTTCATCTATGAAGTCAAAATAATTAACTCTGCCACCAACATACTTCAGCTCTGACATCATCTGAAAACTTTCCCCATAGTGGATTTTGGTAGTTATTTGCTTTGCCTCATCACCTGTTAACCAACAATACTACATTCAATTCATCAAAATCCAATAGAAAAAGTAACTATAAATTAGGTTTACAGCCTTTCGTAATGCAACTAAATAAAATAACATAACCATGTGTAAAAATACAGATCTATGCATCAATCTACTGAAAGAAACAAAATTTATTAACTGGTTCGAAGCATATCAATCGAAAAAAACTTACAGTAAAGTGGGATATCTAGTAGTTTAGGGTTTATATCGCATACCCATTCAAGATCAATATCCACACCTCGCAACAAACTTACCATTCTTGAGTCTGAATTCAATTACGAGCTGAAAGAGTTGATGGACTCCTTAACTTCATCTGGAACTCAAGTTTCTGCTAGCAACCCTCGTTTGTCAATATGGTCGATGTTCTCTCTCTCTCTCCTCTTTGAGTCAAAAAGACAAGTTTCAACTTTTTGACAACCAAGTTGAACCAAGTCAACTAACTGCAAAATGTGTTTTAATATACTCGTTTGTGTACGTGCACCATCCCTCACCGTCCGTTTTGAAAAAATAGGAGATGGCCAATATTAAGGAAAAGATGATTTTATCCCTCCACGTGCATACTACTTTCCGTTATGGTTTCTTCTGACACAAAGATGAAAAGTACCCTGAAAATACTTTTCTTATCAATTGGGGTTGACTCAGAATGTTTTTAGCAATAGGGGTAGGACCGAAACGAACCGAATACATTCGGGGTTTTTCTGAAATGAGGCCCTAAATTTAAGAAAGCTTTGCTAGATTTAGGAGCAAGTGTTAACTTGATACCTTTATCTGTTTTTAATGCACTTGGAGTCAATGATATTCTTGTGCCCACTAACATTACCTTGCAGCTGGCTGATAGATCCCTTACATATCCAAAGGGCATACTGAATGATATCTTTGTCAAAGTTGGATCATTTATTTAACCAAGTGACTTTTTTGTCTTGGATATAGAAGAGGATAAGGATGTCCCTATCATTCTGGGCAGACCTTTCTTAGCAACCTGTGATGCTATCATAGAAGTAAGAAAAGGGGCTGTTACTTTGTAGTTTGATGGAGAACAGGTGACATTCAACATCTTCAACAGCATGAAATTCCCTGCAGAGATTAGAAGTGCGTCAAGATCGATGTTGTGGAGGAAACTATTGAGCAAGCATCTACAGAGGTAATAGAGTCTGATGAATTGCTTAAAATACTAATTGATGTTGAAATAGATGCAAGACATACAGATGACGACTCAGCCATGACTTGGCTAAGTTACTTAGATCACTCTGCAAAGTAGTCACATAGAAGTCAACAAGCAGAGTTGTTGGATCTTGCCAAGGAAAGCAAAACTTATAAACCCTCCTTGGAAGAACCACCAACTCTGGAGTTGAAGCCACTGCCTACACATCTAAAGTATGTGTATCTAAGAGATAAAGACACTTTCCATGTAATCATCTCAGCATCACTGACTTAGACAGAGGAAGACAAGCTAATGAGAGTGCACAAGGAAGCTAGTGGTTTGACCATAGCTGACATAAAAGGCATCAGCCCTTCTATCTGCACTCACAAGATCCTGCATGAAGAGGAAGCAAAGCCAAGCATAGAAGGTCAAAGGAGGTTGAATCCAACAATGAATGAAGTAGTCAAGAAAGAGGTCATCAAGTTATTAGATGCAGAGATCATATATCTTATATCTAATAGAACTTGGGTGAGCCCAGTCCAGTGTGTTCCAAAGAAAGGAGGAATGACAGTGGTGAAGAATGATCAGGATGAACTCATTCCCACCAGAGTGGTTAGTGCCTGGAGAGTTTGCATGGATTATAAAAAGCTCAACAAGGATACTAGGAAGGATCACTTCCCACTACCCTTCATTGATCAGATGCTAGATAGATTAGCTGGATATAGCTACTATTGTTTCCTGGATGGCTACTCAAGATACAATCAAATTACTGTTGTTGTAGAAGACCAGGAGAAGACTATATTCACATGTCCTTTGTAGCACTTTTGCTTTCAGAAGAATGGCATTTGGTCTGTGTAATACACCAGCAACATTCTAGAGGTGCATGATGGCTATTTTCTCAGACATGGTGGAGGACATCGTTGAAATCTTCATGGATGACTTCTCTGTGTTTTGGAAAAGTTATGAAGAATGTTTGGAAAACTTGAGCAAGGTGTTACAAAGGTGTATAGAGACCAATCTGGTCTTGAATTAGGAGAAATGCCATGGTGTTAGAGGGCATTGTATTAGGCCAAAGAATTTCAGAGCAGGGCCTTGAAGTTGATAGAGCTAAGATAGAAGTGATAGAAAAGCTGAGTCCACCAACAACACTTCATGGAGTGAGAAGGTTTCTTGGCCATGCAGGTTTTTACAGGATATTCATCAAGGATTTCTCAGAAATATCTAAGTCCTTGTGTAACCTCTTGGAAAAAGATGCTGCATTCATCATTGATGAGTCATGTGTGAAGGTATTTGAAGAGCTCAAGGGAAGCTTATTTGTGCTTCTGTGATAGTTACACCTGATTGGACTCAACCATTTGAAATAATGACTGATGCCAGTGACTTTGCAGTGGGAGTTCTGCTAGGTCAAAGGAGGAACAGCGTATTGCATGTAGTCTACTATGCAAGCAAGAATCTAAATGCAGCCCAGATCAACTACTTAACCACGAAGAAAGAGATGGTGGCTATAGTGTTTGCTTTTGACAAATTCAGATCCTACTTGTTAGGAGTGAAAGTCATAGTATACACTGATCATGCAGCCAAAAAGTATCTGGTCACAAAGAAAGATTCCATGCCAAGGTTGATTAGGTGGGTTTTGCTGCTGCAAGAATTTGACCTGGAGATCAGAGATAGGAAGGGCATTCAGAACCAAGTAGCAGATCATTTGTCAAGACTGGAAAATGCACCAGAAGATCCTGAGCCAAATGTAGAAGCATTTACCGATGAACGACTTTTGCATATGATAGAGTCACTTGCCAAAGTGTTCGAACAGAGGCCAAGGTTTGCTAGTTTTGCCAACTATGTTGTCTCTAGGATCATACCTGAAGGACTTAGCTGGCAGCAAAGGAAGAAGTTCATCCATGATGCAAAGCAATACTACTGGGATGAACCCTTCTTATTCCGAAGGTGTGTGGACCAACTAATCAGATGGTGTATACCAGAATCAGAGGCACCTATAATTCTGGAAAAGCGTCATAGCTCACCTTATGGAGGACATTATGGAGGCCAAAGAACTGCTGCCAAGGTACTACAATCTGGTTTCTTTTGGCCTACTATACATAAGGATGCTAGAAATTAGGTGCTTAGCTGTGATAGATGTCAGAGAACAAGAAATATATCTTGCAAGAATGAAATGCCACGGAAATGATCCTGGAAGTAGAACTCTTTGATGTGTGGGGTATTGACTTTATGGGACCCTTTGTGTCATCTTATGGTCACACACACATTCTACTTGCAGTTGATTATGTTTCTAAGTGGGTAGAAGCTGTGGCAGTCCACTCTAGTGATGCTAGGACAGTGATTAGGTTCTTGAAAAAGAACATCTTCTTCATTTTGGCACTCCAAGAGCCATCATTAGTGATGAGGGTTCTCATTTCTGCAATAAAGCTTTCACTAAGCTGATGGCTAAATTTGGCATCAAGCACAAGGTTTCTACACCTTATCATCCACAATCCAATGGTCATGCAGAGGTATCAAACAGAGAGATCAAGAGGATACTAGAGAAGGTAGTCAGCAGTTCAAGGACTGACTGGGCTGCAAAACTTGATGATGCTCTCCAGGCATACATATCTGCTTTCAAGACTCCAATTGGCATGTCCCCATTCAAGTTAGTCAATGGAAAGGCATGCCACCTTCCAATTGAGTTAGAACACAAGGCATATTGGGCCTTGAGGGAGCTAAATTTAGATCCAATGCTCAGCAGGGAGCACAGGCTTCTGTAGTTGACTAAAGTGGAGAAATTTAGTTCAGGCAGGAAGCCTATGAGTCTTCCAGAATCTACAAGGAAAAGTCCAAGGGATTCCATGATAAGAAGCTAGTCAAGAAGCAGTTGGAAGTAGGACAGCTGGTTCTACTATACAACTCTAGGTTGAAACTCTTCCCTATAAAGATGAAGTCAAGATGGGGAGGTCCTTACAATATCAACAAGATTTTGAGCCAAGGAGTTGTGAAATTAATGAACCTACAGACATGGAGCACATTTCTGGTGAATGGACAGAGGCTGAAGCCGTATTTAGGAATACAATCTGAAGGAGAGCAGGACAGTCATGTTCTGTCACTCCATGACTTTGAATGATACCTTTGGCAAAGTATGACATAAGACTATAAACTGTTGCGTTATTTGAGAGGCAACCCAAGTTCTTTTGTTCTAACCCTATCTCTTGTAGTATTTTGTATTTTGTAGGAAATTTCCAACCCAAATGGAGAGCCAGATTCCAGGAGGAGTGAGGACCAGTATCTTACAAATGTCATGGAAAGAAACAAGATCAACACACTGAGTAATTGGATGATAACTTCCAAAAGTCAGTTTCTGACTTGTGAAAGTCATTTCAACTATTCAAAATGAAAGAAGTCCGCCTTTGACTTTGGGAAGCGGTATTGACTTTAAGCTTGAGGGAATAAACCAACGGTGTTGCAGTTAAGAATCTGAAAAGACGGGGCATGGGGAGTTTATGTCTTTGACTCAATAAATATTCCAACCCCACGGTCTGTCTTTTCCCTTTTGCTTTCCTTATCTTCTTAAACTACTTGCTTCCACCTCCTTCGCACAAAATCTCCATTTTCTCCAACCATATAAAGCAACCATTCCAATATGAATCCGAAAGTAAAAGAAATGGACAGACATAGAACTCTGCAAGAAGGGGAATCCAGGTCTGCCGGCAGACTGGTGGAGCATGTGATTGTGCCAAACCCTACTCTCAATAGGGATGAGAGGCATGAAGTTAGAACGCGCCTCCAAGATCCGAGAGATAGCAGACTCTTCATCATAGAGTTCGGATGGGAATTCTTTCAAAGGTACTGGAACAGAATACTCATCATCGGACGGTGTTTGAACCATGACCATCTGTCGACTTACATCGACGACAAGCAATGGAAAGGTCTCTGCAACCCAACCACCAGACCAAGGATGAGAGCTGTACAAGAGCTCTATGCCAATTTGATCGCTGTCAAAGAGCAATTTGTCTATGTTTGAGGGTGACAGTGGAGATAAGCAAAAAGACTATTTGAGAGGTACTGGGATTCCCAGAAGTAGAGAATGATTGTGAAGATGCAATTGACCGCATCCGAGTAAAGTGCAGGCTTTCAAACACTGTAAAGAAAGCTCTCTGCAGAAATCCCACTGCGGTGGAATGGAGCTTGGACAATTATGGCTGTCCAGAGGAATTTCCAGCAAAACATTTGAAGGATAAGCGTAGAGGTTGGTTCAACCTGGTATGCACCAACATAATGCCCACCAAATCTTACCAGTTTGTGTCCATTGACAGAGCCCTGTTGATATTTGCCATCATCAACAATATTACAGTCGATGTCGCTTCCATCATCCGCCAACAAATGGACATTTGTGCAGTAGATGAGAAGGAGAAGGGTTGGTTCTTTCCGGGCCTTTTAACAAGGTTGATGAAACTGTCCGGTGTCATTTTTGGACCTCATGATGAAAGTTCACTTCTGCCACTACCTTGGTCCTTGCAAGGACCACCACCAGATTAGGAATCATCAGATTCTAAAGTCCAGGGGAGTCCCTAGTTTCCTTTCCATTTTCTTTCTTTTCTGCTTTTTAGTTTTTATTCTTTTTTATGTGTATTTGTTACTTCTCTTCATCTTCTCTTCCATTTTTTTTTACTCAACATTGAGGGCAGTGTTGGATTTTAAGTTTGGGGGAGGGTGTGGAGAGAATTAACCATGTCTAGGAGTCAGTTTGTAGTGTCTGTTTTTAGGTCTGCATTGCGTTTTGAGTCTTTGCTTTTGGGCTGTTGCCCTGTTTTTCTCTGTTTTTTCTGTGCTGCTTTGTTTCTGTGTCCCTCTCTATGATTGAGTCAGTCTAGTCTTCCTGTCTCTAGGTAAGTAGAAAATGCATGCTTAGTAAATAGTCAAATGTCAAGGATGAAATAGAATTGAGGTCTACATTTGGCTGAATACTTGTTTGAAAACTACTTGATCATCTCAGAAATTTGCTTCCATTCCTCATGTCAAAAAGTCACTTGACAAAGTGTTGTTCTGGACTTAAATGCTTAAAATTGAAAATTTTTCCTGCATTGTTGTGGTTTGTATTAGAGCTCACTTGTCTGTTAACGTGGGGGGACTATAAACCTGGACAGAGATTAAGCCAAACCCTACGCATTATGGCAGTCTCAATTTGAGCCCATAGTGGTTTACAATAATCTAAAATACCTGGGAAAAGGGGAAGTTGGCGGACTAAACTGAGGTTCTCTATTTAGCTAAATTGAGGGAGTATAGACAGAATGTCTAATAAGGCATTATAAAACCTTGAGAGGTGCGGCATGACAACCAAAGAGAGAAGTGTCCTCAGGCTTGGTGAGATGAAAAATATAGATGCTTAAAATACAAGAACTGAAAAACTGTGCTTGGTAAGGGCCTGAGTGGGAAAGATCAAGAAAAAAAAAAGCCAATATGGACAAAAAAAAAGGGTAGGAGGGTGAAAGATGCAGCTAATGTGCTCACAGTAAACTGAGGAAGCCCTCAATCTGAATTCCATTTAGAATACCCTAGTGTAGACTTGATTGAAATATATAGGTACAGATCCAGCAATGTCCATTGTGCTGAAATCCACTTAAGAAAAAAAAAATCAACCCTTTGTTCTGTGTCTGTCACTCATGTGCTTGGGGAAGTGAGTTTCTGTCTTGCCCAAGTGGATTTTAAACTGTAGTGTACATCTGTCTCTGTTGAGAACTGTTTCTAAGACAATCTTTTTGACTGAATTCTTTGTTGCATTCTCTGGTTTAGAGTCAGTATGGGGGGTAGATATTGTGTTTGCTTGAGGACAAGTAACTCTTCAAGTTTGGGAGAGTTGATGAGTGTGTTTTGTACTATGTTTTTAGGCACATATACTACCTCTTTATGCTTTAATTATAGGTCAATTAAGTTAGGATTGCAAGTATATAGGCTAATTTTGTGACTTGTTGTAATCTAGGGGCTGAAATATAATATGAGCAAAAAAGTGGTCAAAATGTGGCAGAATGGCAAAGTTTTGGGCCAAATTGGAAGAAGTTGCAGGGACCATTGTGCAAGGGCTGAAGAAGAGGAAGAATCTGGCAGGAAGAGAGCCAAATTGGAGGAAACCTTTGAAGCTAAAGAAGAAGAGCCGTTGGTGAAGTGATGTTGTTGACATTGGAAGAAGATTAATGTGCCTTAATGCTGATTAACTCAACCAATTTATTCCAAAATATGTAAGGGTGAAGTTGTAGGAAGTATGGGTCTCCTCTCTTTTGCTTGAAACCCATCGGGTAAAGAGGAGACCAACTTGGCTAAGCAAGATCTCTCCCCCAACCTCTATAAAAGGCAGCAACAGTAGGAAGAAGAAGGCATCAAAGAACATCAGATCCAAAGTAAAAAACTAGATAGTGTAATTTAGTTAGTAGTGTAGAAACAGAGTATAACTCTGGAAGGTAGACTCAGGGGTGTCTCTCGGGGAAGTAAGAACCTAACTCTGCAAAGTCAGTTGCAGTTTACCACTCTCCCTGACTTTACTCTTTCCCTATTTTCTGTACTATCTAGTGTAGCCATAGATGAGTCTCAACACTTGGACTTTATAGTGTTTGAGCTCCTCTCCATGAGTAGCTAAACTCATTTTCTAGGGTCTAATCCCTCTACTCTATATAACTATGTTTTGATTCATGCTCTTAGATGATATTTGTATGTGTAGTCTTAGAGTTTATATTATCTTTTTAGATTGAACATGTTGCCATTCAAACTAATTAGGCTTGCATGTTAGGGGAATCCTGGAAGGATAAACTTTACTTAGAAGGTGACGAGGGGGTAACATCCCAAGGTTTCAAACAATAACGGAAGTTAATTATTTGGCAAGAGGCAATCATAAGGGCCGAAGATCTTAATGGCTTAGTAGTAATTCAGAGTTGACAAAGGTAGTTAGTTTACTTGTTACTATTAGGAACAATCGGAAGTGACCTTACAGTGTGTATGTGCCTGATTGAATACAGTTTCATACCACATGTAGAGCTAAAAGAATCAATACATATGCATATAGAGTAGAGTGGAGGACGACCCTAGGATACTATCACTTTGTCAAGTCATAAACTCACTTGCCAATCTGCTGTTTCTACTTTTGCTTTGTGTTTGTTCTGGATCCCAATTTTCATTAAGTCTTTCTCGTCTCTGTGGGATCGATCCTTCTTATCACTTACTACAAGTTTTAAGTAGTTTTATTTTGGTGGTCTCGACACCCATCACCTCCTCGTGCTCGGCTTGTCTCGAAGGTTCTTCCTGATTCGGTGGCTTAGATAGCCTGGGCAGAATCATCATCTTTCGCTTTTGTCCTGCCCCAATCTTCTCTCGCGGTCACTGCTTTGTTCTTTGACCGAGCACATGTTGTGGGATTTAGAGGGATCAATATCCATAAGGATTTGGGTATCACCCATGGTCATCTCATCATCTATGCCCAGGGTTAAAACAGCGTGTGTTTGATCCACGATATCGGTCGGCATCTTCTCGAGCTCAGTGTCTAGGAGACCTTTTTCACGACGGTCGTCTCTAAACTGTTGGGCGTACATGTGAATGTTGTTTTGTACTTCGCTCTAGAAATAAAATGGAAAAGGTTGAGCGTTGCACATTGCATGTTGAGCGACCAAGTCATTTATAGTATTTTTATAGTATAGTATGTTTGCAATCATAAATTGAAAAGGTTCCCTAAATTATGACTACACATGACTAATGATATTAGACTTGGATGGCAAAATGCAAAATTTTCCAAATGTAATTGGTGATTAAATCGTGAAATCTAACTTCCATTTTGTCCTTAAGAAAACTAAATTGGGGTTGTATTTTATTTGTGGACTAACCTTGAATCGGCTAACTACACTGGGACATGATTTAATTTGTGGGGTACATCTAAAATTGGTTATCGATTGTCGGAGACTACATGCACGTGGAATTTAGGTATTTATTGGGGACCAAATTAAAGTGCTCTCCAAAAAGTTAACTTCAAAAGTGAAATAATTTTTCTAGTTCGGTCTTCCATTTTTTTGCCCCAATTAAAAATTTGGCGTAATAGTAATGCGAGCCTTATGTCAAGTGACAACCAACTGATAAATCAGATTCCAAGAAATTAATTGGCCAAGCGGCTTATATATATATATATATATATATATATTTTTAAATGAATGAAAAGGCCAGAAAGTTCGGGTTCTAACTACTTCAAAAACACTCAAGGGGTCTACCCAAGAGATGAATTTTTGAAGCAGTTATAGCTGGATGATAGTATGCACCCAAGGGGTATACCTGAGGGATGGACATAGATATCTTCCAGTTCCCTAGCTTCCTTCCTTTTGTATTTTATTAAATATCGAACCAGAAACTTGGCAGTGTTTAAAACTTACAAATATACAAAAGACTATTTATAACGAGCTCGTATATATGGAAGGGAGAGCTGATCTAAACGTACAAGTCCCCTTATAGGCCTAGGCAAAGTACTCGTAGAGCTATATCTGGTTGATATTCCAAGTGACATCTCACCAGCTAGGCTATCCGCCACTGAGTTGGCTTCTCGAAATATGTGTTGAAATTGTGTAATCTTGCCTCTCAATTATATGATGAATCTCCATTAACTGGAAATGATACTTCCATGGCACATGCTTCATATCACCAAGTATATGAACTAAGGATTCATTATCAGTTTGAATGGCCACCCTTTGCAAACCCAGTTGGTCACATTTCCTTGCCCCAAAACGCACACCATATACCTCCGCACCAAAGCTATCTCCATCCCCTATAAAACCACTTTCACCATATATAAAGCCTCCATTATTCCTCCTAATGCAAAATCCATAACCTGAATCTGAATGGATGTTAGAGCCATTCGTATTAAGCACATACTCACTATGTTCCGGAGCCTTCCTAATAACAGAAATACACCTATATACCATTACATTTTGAAGTTGGAAGCCAAAAATACTTTCAATCCAATCTCGCTCATCCAAGGTCCAGGCCTTCCATTCATGAGTTACTAAGACATTACATAAGTCCACCTTTATTGCGGAGATCACCCTTTCACAACTAAAAGTCTCACCATCAAAAAGCATTTTGTTCCGCATCTTCCAAATCTCCCAAAGAATGAAAGACGGAGCAATCTTGATCAAAGATTTGCGGGCTGAGGAGAAGCAACCGCGCTTCCACCATTCTTGAATAATGGCAAGCAAGTTTACTTCATCCCGCCATGATATTTCAAATAAGCTAAAGAAAAACTTACATATCTCCTTGCTTGCCATGCATTCAAGAAAACAATGGAGTACTGAATCACCATGATCTTGACATGAGAGGCAAATGGATGGCAAAACTTGTATTCCAAACTTACTCAAATTTTCTGGGAAGGGAACAAGAAAGTTGCGAAGCTTCCATACAAAAAAAGAAATCTTCAACGGAATTAGCTTGTTCCAAAAATTCTTAGATAAGGATTCCTCCAATCCTCGCATTCTTAGATGCAAGTAAGCAGATTTGATGGTAACAAACCCGAAGAGGAGAGTTGCCATATCAAGGAATCACGGCCTGTCTCTAGAGTTTCAGCTGTATACTTCAATGACCGCATTACTTCTGGGGCTAGAATATCCTGCAAATCATGCAAATAAAATTCCTTGTTAGCAACAAAAATCTTTAATACTTAGTTGAGGACTAGGGGGAAGCGCATTTGGTTCCCTCCATATAACACCAACAGAAGTCCAGTTGTCGAACCAAAAAGATCGATCCCCCCCCCACAAACCAGAACCTTCGAGCATTGCAACGCCTCCATGTCAACCTTCTCAACCCTGCTCCAAGATGTTTTACCCCTAGCTGAATGTGAGAGAGACAAGATAAAATGACTCCGTAATCCATTTTACTGCTTGTATTTCCACCAAAGTTTACAAGAAAAAGCTCGAACAACATCTACAAACTTGTGCAGCCCTAGACCATTCTCTGAAATAGGAAGAGCCAATCGATCCCAAGATCTCCAATGTCTTCGCTTTTCGTCATTTGAACCATGCCATAGAAACCTTTGGCATCTTTTCTCCATTTCCTTCAAGACCGACATGGGGGGGGGCGAAATAGCCGACAAAACATGTATAGGCATCGCTGCAAGAACATGTCGCAAGAGAATCAATCTTCCACCCGAGCTTAGAAACTTGTTTTTCCAGCTTGCAATCTTGGAGTCTAAAGAATCTAATAGAAACTGGAATTGAGATGCTCTACTCCTTCCGCAAAATAGATTACAACCAAGACATTTAAAAGGAAAAGAGCCCTTAGTCATAGTCAAAACTCTTTTGATTGCTTCAACCCGAAATGCACTACAAGATTCTGGCACCAAAAAGAAACTTTTGTTGCAGCTTATTCTTTGTCCAGAAGCTATTTCATAGGCTTCCAAAAACTTATTTAGCTCCTTCAACTGTCGAGCTTCACCCCTTGTAAAAATGATCAAATCACCTGTAAAACTTAGATGTGAAACTTTCATGGAACCCGCTGGAGTACCATAGGCAGCCACTTTATTCTTCCGAACTAAATCGTTTAGCTTCCTTGACATTGCCTCAGCTATTAATATAAATAGGTAAGGGGATAGTGGATCACCTTGCTTTATTCTTCGAGATGGCTTAAAGAAACCGGTTGGAGAACCATTCACCATTATCGAAAACCAGCTATCTCTGAGGTTATTCAAGATTAATGAAATGAAAGCATCCGGGAATCCCAGCTTACAAAGGACCTTTTCTCCAAAAAACTCCAAGATACTCGGTCAAAAGCCTTCATCATATCAATCTTGATAATTACATTATTTCCCATCGCCTTGTGATTATGAACTGACAAAGATCTTGCGCCAGGACAACATTATCAATTATATCTCTTCCCGGTAGAAAGGTGGATTGTTCCTCAAAAATGATTTTAGGTAACACTAGCTTCAACATTTCAGTTGAGATTTTAGTAAAAATCTTATTAAGAAAGTTGCAAAGGCTAATTGGCCTGAAATCTGAAAATGTACTCACCGAGACCTTCTTAGGAATTAAGATGATTACAGTACTTGCCACAGCTCTTGGAAGTGGAACACCACTCATGAAATTTTCACATGCAGCAAGAAGATCTTCCAAGATTATATCCCAACAAGCTTTGTAAAAACACCCTCCAAATCCATCAATACCAGGCGCACTATCCTCATCAAGATTGAAAACCGCAGCCCTGACTTCCTCCATAGTAACCAGCCTTACAAGCATGTGCTTATCCTCCAAGCTCAAATCATCATTCAAATTTTCCAAGAATACTTGTTGCTTTTGATGCTACTGTAAATGAGGAGATTCTTTAGTAAGAAGATTATGAAAAGACCCCACCGCCTCCTTCTCAATCTCTTCCAATTTTGTTAAAACACGGCCCTCCTCAGTTTGAATTTTTTTGGATCCCCATCTTCAACTTTCTTTAAGCAAGAGATGCGTGAAAATAATCTGTATTATTATCCCCCTCCTTGAGCCCTTTTAAGCGTAATTTCTGCTTCCAAAAGTCATCATGTTCCTTGAGTTTTTGAAGCAAATGAGCCCTAGCCAAGCTTAGATTTTGCCTATCATTCATGTGCCCAGAACAATAATAGGCGATTTCCAGTTCCTTTACTTTATCCTCCGCCAATTTCAGATTTTGAAAAACATCACCAAAATGCAATTTGTTCCATTCCTTTAAAGCTAGCTTCAATCTACGAAGCTTCAAGGAAAAAGCCAGCATTCCAGAACCCCAAACCGGCTGTGACAAATTATATTGAACAAGATCTTTAAATTCTCCTCTTTGAAGCCACATTTTCTGGAATCTGAAACTTCTTGGCTTAGACTCAAGTTGAGCATCAAATTGAAGCAGCAAAGGGGAGTGATCAGATGTAGTAAAGCTCAAAAGCTCAATGGAAACCTTAGGAAAAACATCCATCCACTCCGAAGAGAAAAGAATACGGTCTAAGTTCTTGCTAACCCAACTGGTAGCACGCGTACCACCCCAAGTAAAATCATCGCCCACCGATGGTATTTTCATCAAATTATTCTCTTCAATGCATTGATTAAACTCGTCAATGGCTCCATAGTCTTGAACTGAATTCCCGGAGTATTCATCAAGAGATCGTATAACATTAAAGTCCCCTCCAACAACCCAAGGCTGAGATACATGTGTACTTCTAAAAGTTTCCAAAGTCGCCCATAGATATCGCCTTTCCACCTTATTAGATTTAGCATACACTGCAGTAAGGAGAAGTTCCTTTGAAGAGGTACATACCCAACCTCAAAGTGCATCATTTGCTCACCAGATTCCAACCGGCTGACAGTAAATAGTTTACTATGGAAGACCCAAATTTTGCTAGTACTTGAAGAGAAAGCACAATCAAAATTAAGTTCCCGCCTTATTTCTTCTAATTTATCAGAAGCTAACATAGGTTCAAGAATCACCACAAAAGAAATTCTATAAATTCGGATGAGAGCTCGCAATCGTTGTTGAGAGGCTTGCTTTCGTATTCCTCTAATGTTCCAAAACATAATACTTATCATTGATAAAATTTGGAGATTAATGAAGGCGAAGAGATCACCGAAGCTCTTTACCAGCTATAAGCTTAGCGCGCTCATCTTTCATTTTGCGGCCGCGCCTCTTCTTGGTTGTTAATTCCCCTTGCGCATTCCCAGCCAAGACACGCGTGTCCTTATCCCCTTCTAACCAACTTTCTTCATATGCATCATTATCATCATCTGAAACTAGTAGATCCACAGCCAAAGAATCATCTGGATAAAAAAGTTTAGGGTCCTGACCATCATTAGCTGCATTTTTCGTATCTGTATTTTCCATAAGGACCAACTGGTTTGCAGGGATAACTTCCGTGAATACGTTTTCAATATCATCGAAATCTTCATCAGCATTTTCCTGGACAATATCAGCAATCGCATCGCCGTTATCATCACAACTTTGCAGGATCGCAAATTTATTTGCTTGCATAACCGGTGCTGTCTTATTCATCTCAGAGAAATCATTCAAAACATCATTCGGCAGGACTACGAGTTGAGTTGTTTGCGCTAGAGAATCAACTTCCCCTTGCGCGTCGGTATCCAGTCGCAAAGCATCAGTAACTCTAGCCTCCGGAGATGCAAGTTGGGTAGATTCGCGTAGAGAAACAAAATCCCCTTGTGCATTGGATCTCAGTCGCGAGTTGCCAACAACTTGAGCTTCAATAACAACAAGAACGTTATCATCCACCATTTTACTACCAGAATCATGGAGGGGGGGGATTGTCCACAATATCAACAGAAACAGAACCTTTTTCTTTGGCTGTTAAACCAGAAGTTGAACCTCCAACGCGCGCCTCTTTTGGAGGCTGCGAGGTTAGGGTTTCCATAATCTGTGTTTCGACGACTTTAGGAATCAAACCTTTTACGATGAAAGGGTCTTCACTGATAATCTCCACCTCCAAATCCATCTTCCTTTCCCCTTTTTTCAAACCCCAATTGACTTTTTTTTGCTGCAATCGAAATCCATTTTTTGAGGCAGCCGTTTTCAGTTCTTGGGCAACAGTTTCAGTCTTCTTCAAAGCATCAACTGCTGGGACATTTATAGTTTTGCCTTTTACTTTTCGGAAATCCACATCTCTGTGTCCAATCTTACAGCAAGCAGAGCAGTACGAAGGAACATATTCATACATATAATATTGCTCATATTTCTTTCCTTTCTTTCCAATCCGAATCGACTTCGGTAACTCCTTAGTCAGATCAATCTCAGCGCAAAAGCGCGCAACAGACGGCCTTGTCAAATTGAGGGTTGGAGTATCCACTTGAAGGGGCTTTCCAACAGTAGAGGCTATGGAAAATAGAACCCTCGGATACGTCCATTCCAAGCGAAGCTCATGAAGAGAAACCCAGATGGGAACAATCGGTGGGTCTTCTTCAAACTTGAAACCCGGCTGCCATTTCAAAATGCGCATTTGATAGCCGCCTATAGTCCATAAAGATGTAATCCAACAACGCTAATAGTCTTCCTCCAATTCAAATCGAATCAAAACGTGTCGCGGGTTCATAAGACCAAGAAAATATGATCCTTTGAAACCGATTTTTTTGAATTCCTCACGCAAGACATCCATTTTCGGCCTTCCATAAGAAAATTTTCCCACTAAATTCATCTTGTGAGGAGCAATTAGTTCTTCAAACTCTTCATCATCAGATTCAAGCTCTGGTGTCCCATTGAAAAAAGTAACCTTCTTAGAGTTTATAGGGGGGTTCGAATTATCCTGTGGTGGATATGTTGCTAATGGTTTAGCAAAAAAAGTTGCGAAGCTGCGACTCGGTCCAGTGGGGACAGCTGCAGTTGCATTGGGCTGAGGTGCACTGGCCATAATGGCCGGAGAAAGAAGCCGTCACCGTTGATTAGGGTTGCGGCAGAGAAAGATTCCGATTAGCTTATTATAGATTAGAAAAAGAAACTGATTAAAAATTTAATTTTAAAACCCATCATATCTAGTATGAACTTGATAGGTTGTTTGAGAACAAAGGCAAAAACAAATAGAATTTATAATCTATACTATATATTAAAGATAAGTTTTTAATCCAAACATGTCAATTAATTAGATAGTTTAGAGCCTTTGTTGCCACATGTCAAGTTCAGAGTTTTTTTGACACGTGTCAACGCCAAAGATCCCTTTTCATTAAAGTTTAAAATTTATTGTGAATTAATTATTTCAATTTACTTTTCACGTATGCACTTCACCCATCTTTATTACATCCCATGTATATTTGATTATCTATATAATTAATAATAAAAAATCAATCTTTTCCACTACTAATTATCTTTAGTTTTTTTATTGGTTGCTAGGAATTTTATTTTTCACACATATTCTAAACAGAGTTTACTGTGGTGGAATATTTTAGAAAAAAATCATAAAATTTATTTTAGTAGATGAAAAACTATCAAATATGTATTAAAAGTAATATTTTTCAGGGAAATCTAACAAAAAGAATATTACTAAAGAAATTTTATATAAAATACTGTGTATCTTTGCATTTTTTTTTGAGTTCGGTGAAACCTTCATTTTGTGTTTACTAAACCTTCATTGCATTACCAAGTAATTATCACTTTTATCGATTATTACTTTTCAAATTTTATTATGAATGATCATACTAATATTTAATCTTTCAAAATATACACTATCTTGAATATGAAATATATATATATATATATAAATATATATTTATATATATATATATATATAAACATATAAATGTAATTTACTCAACAAAACATGGGCAAAAATTATTTTCCACAAAACCCTATATAAACTTTATCATATTACGATGATAATTCTCGGAAAAAAATAAAGCATAATTATACAATTTTACACCATACATATAATATAATCCGTGCAACGCACGGGAATAATTCTAGTGCATAAATATAATGAAACTAAATACTCAATAATTTACTTCCTTAAACCGATTGGAAATTCCGCGTAAGCTCATGGTCTTCTTCTTGAAGTTTCAACGCCTCAAGTCCTCAACGATATAACTGGACAATGAAAGCATTCTCGTGCTCCAGCATTTCAAAAACACAAACATTTTCAAGTACAATACCACCTCATTTTCTCTACGAAAATCTTCTACACATTTTCTCTGACAAAACTGATTTTCTCTAGCAAGCAACACAGGTAATGTCCCCTCAAATGATTCACCCCCCACCTGATTAGCAACAAACAATCTATTTCTAAAATTAGTTGAAACGGTGACATTTCTCCAGTTAAGCTTCCATGCACGTGGACCGATCCCTTGGTCAACGCTGTCTGTTTCATGCCCACTTCCACAGAAGAATCTTCAGTTTCACCATGTTTTTCCAAGTTTAGTCTTTTCTTGGTAGTTGCGGCGTCAGATAATCGGGTAGTCAATTTCCATTGTTATTCTTATCACATTGGGATAGAATTCCTGAAATCTTGGCATTCTTTATGAATCCAAGTTCCATAATCGTTCTTCAATAACATTCTTTACCGACTAAATCCTCTACAAAAATCACAACTTTGTTCAGGCTAGCTACTTCAGTGTTTATTCATGAACTTCCTCGGAATTTTCTTTCGAAAATGAAGTTAATGATACCGAATTATCACATTTTTTAAGAATTAGCACAAAATGCATTGAGATGTTTTGTGACATTGAAATGAAATTAAAGTATGAAACTCATCACTTAAGTGCAGAAATATTGATTTTTTAAAATATTTTTTTTTACATTTCACTTTCACTGTACAAATTAAATCCGTACAGTTAAAAAAATAAGAGGGAAAAGATAAGATAATCATGAAACTGAAAGTTTTGATTTGCCTGCCTCTTTCCCCGACATTTTCTCCAATCACTCCCTTCTAATTAGCTTTCCTTTCAATAATAAAACTTAAAAGTAACTATGCACAAAAATGAATAGAAATTCTCGCGTAACTTTGAATTTTTTTTTTTCAGTTTAGGTTTCGAATAGTAAAATTCTCCTCCGATCATGACCATGAACTGCGATACGAGTTCGGAAATGGTTACCTCGATGGTGAAGGGTTCCAATAGCTTCACCGTTACCGGCTACTCATTTGGCAAAGATATCGGGCCTAGAAAGTACCTGTCGTACTCCACTTTCAGGGTTGGAGATTATGAATGGGCGGTTTACTTCTATCCTGATGGTAAGGACTCCAAGGATCGGTCGGCGTTCGTTTATGTGTTCATCGGTCTGCTCAACGATGCAACGGACGTGCGAGTGTTGTTTGAACTCAAGCTTTTAGATCAGAGCGGGAACGGGAAGCACTTAATTCACAGCCATTTTAATCGTGCCACGCCAAAAACTCCCTGTATCTTGAAACACAGGGAAAGTATTTGGTATCAATATTTGCACGATCGCGATCTTACGTAGGATTGAAATGAAGTCTTTACATAAAGTATTTAACATTTAATAATTAGGTTTTAATTATCTTTAAATAAAGTATTTAACATTTAAACGAAAAGAATTGTGTAAATTCAATTTTTGTATGTGAATTTTTGTATGTGAATTTCTTCAATTTTGTAAATTCAATTTTTATGATCCAAGATGATGTGGAAAATCTTATAATCAATGGATTTCCAGCCTAATTACTTTTTGAGTTGGATGTGTAGAAATAATGCTTTTAGCTTCTTTTTTTTTTTCTTTTTTGTTTTCCTTTGTTTGGCTTAACGTTGCTTTTAGCTTCTACTTACTCCATTTGTTACTGTTGTCTTGCAGGGGCCATAAACGTTTCTTCAGAAAGGTCGATTTAGAAAAATCTTGCTACCTCAAGAATTCTTCCTTACAATCCATTGTACCGTTGGAGTTGTTAAAACTTGTGCCAAAGCAACAAAGCAGGAAATCTCCATTGTTCCAGCAACGAGCATCGTCCAAGATCTCGACAAATTGTTCGAATCTGAAATGGGCTGCGATACAAGCTTCCAGGTAGGTGATGAAAAGTTCAAGGCTCATAAGTTGATACTTGCTGGTCGCTCTCCTGTTTTTAGAGCTCAATTTTTCGGATTCAATGGAGATTCCAATATAGACAAAGTTGAAGTTCTAGATATGGAACCTGCTGTCTTCAAGGTTATGCTCCAGTTCATTTACTCCGGCAGCCTCCCTAATCTAGATGAGATCACTGGATCAACATCGACATCCACATTAACCAACATGATGCATCATCTCTTGGCTGCTGCGGATCAATATTGTTTAGACAGGCTGAAACAAGTTTGTGAAGCTAGATTGTGCGAAGAGATCAATGCTAATACAGTAGCACCAACTCTTTCCCTAGCGGAATCACTCTATTGTGCGCAGCTTAAAGCTGTCTGCTTGAAATTTGCAGCACACAACTTGGAAGCGGTTAGTCAATCGGACGGGTTCAAACATTTGGAAGAAAGCTGCCCTTCTCTGTTGTCTGAGCTGTTGAAAACTGTAGCATCAGTTGATGAAAAACCAAAATCAGTTTTAGGGCAGAAAAGAAGTAGTAGCAGTGCATTCACGCAAGGTTTGGTAGACGATGGTGATGCTTCAGAACCCGTGAATCCTCCTAAACTGCGGAGGACTGCTCGGATGTGTACCAGGTCGACCTGTTTGATTTCGGGGGGGGAGGAGAAACCGGGAAAAAAAAATCCTTTCCTGTAATTTGAGTTTAGTTTTTTTTTTTTATAATCAAATTCCATTTTTTTAAAATTGTTCAAAGGTAAACTTTGTATTGCTCTTTTCAGAATTGTACAACCACCAATTCTATCATTTACAAAAACTGAATTATTTTTCAGAATTCAAATGTATTCCAAGATTCCTAAGAAACCTAATATCATCACTACTACTAAATCTACAATGCTTATTGGATTTTCCAAGTGATTTCTTGAATGATAACAATCTTCCTTTTGTCCATGGTCATTTGTTGATTGCCAAATTTTCTTCTATTTCTCTCTATCCAAGTATGGTATGCAGGAGCAGCAAACGGTCGGAAAAAGAATCCTTTGCCTACTCTCTCTCTCTCTCTCTCTCTCTCTCTCTCTCTCTCTCTCTCTCTCTCTCTCTTCTCTCTCTCTATAAATATAGTAAAGGAAAGTTTTCAATCGGATGCATGGCGTAAAATTAGACATGTAATATATCCACATAGCAAGATATTAGATAGCTGAGTCCATGTGTAGCAAACACATCACTCCATCATTTAATAGTAATTTTTTAATGTAAAATTGTAAATTTATAGATAGAACTAATTAAAATAACATTACGTTCATGCCAATTAAACTTTACCCCAATTACATTTGTAAACCGTATGTTCAAAATTATGCCAAAAACAATATCATCAAATACAAAACACACTATTCCTTCATACAAACTATTACTTATAAGAATTGAATAGCCATTGAATTTTTAAGAGACGTAGACTTACTCAAAAGAGAACTTTGATTTTCTTCATAAAATGATTTTAATATATTACTTGTATTATGTACCCATTATAATGGGTAATCAAACGAGTATTATAAATATTTTCAATAAAATCTAACGGGTAATTTATTTCTTGCCGTTAATAAGCAATACTAATAAATAATATTTGTTGATTACTTTGGGTAAAAATTGTAAAATAAAGAATAATCTGATTAATAGCAATTATATATACGTTTAATTATAAATGTTAACGGCATCTCACAACCTAACAAGACTAAACAATATACGTGATTATTTAAGAAATTACACAACAACATAAGATTAAACTATTTATCAATGTAATTATACTACAATTAAATATATAGTTTAATATACTATAATTATATATACCCAATGTAATTGCTATTGGTGTATTTTTGTAAGTCTGAAGCACTGCCAACTTTGGATTATAATTTCAATAATACATGGGAGGGATGGTACTAGGAAACTAGGTGGTATTCATGTCCATCCCTTGGGTGCGTGGTATCAGCTAGCACTGGCTGATGCAGGGAATATCTCTTCGGTATACCCATTGAGTATTTTTTGTGTCAGTTGGGACCTGAATATCTTTCTACCCTTTCTTCTGCTATATATATATATATATATATATATATATATATATTACCTCCGTCCAAAAAAAATAGTCTACATTGAGTTTTCAAATTTGTACTAAAAATAGTACAAAACTCAAAACTCAATGTGGACTATTTTTTTGGGATGAAGTATTATTTAAAATTATTTCATCATGGTCAAGAGAACTAATACTCCATACCGATACTAAATATTTTTTTTCTTTGCCTTTTCCTTTGCATTTGCATCTTGGGATTCAATGGTAGCATGCAATTTTCATCGATAAATCTTCTAACCTTGATGAATATTGGTAATTCACAACAAAATGTAAAAAATCAATTCGATGATTCATTATATTTTTTTCCATATGATAATAGTAGAAAAAGTTAACGTTATGATGATAAAACAAAACATAAAGATCACTAAAGACAAAGTTTTATGAAATAAGATAAAGATTAAATGTCTTTGTGATAGAGAAACAGTAGATGAAAAGCATATTTGAATTTAAAAATAATTATATGGAGGAAAGAATTATGTAGAGAATAAGAAAATATAAAAAAAGAAACCAAAATAATAGGAAAAAATGAAATAATTATTACAAATTTTTCAAAAAATGAAGTTTTAAGGAAAATTTATTAAATTTTTAAAAAAAAAAGAAAAGAAAAGAGCAAGACAATGGGATCAAGAAAATAAATGAAATAAACACTATATTATAAGAAAAATATATGAAAAAACTTCTAAAGAAACTTCTATAAGAAATATAAATGGAGAAGAAAGAGATAAACAAAAATACTATTTCCTAAACCTCTCTCTCTCATACGCTCCCCCACCTCTCTTGCGCCGGTGAGCCATTGATTCCGGTCTCCATGACCGGTGATCAATCCGGGGAGGTCCCCACTGGGCCTCCTCGTACGTTTGCTAGTTTTTTTTTTCAGAAATCTATAGATACTTCTCAAGAAAAAGGCTCTCTAATAAAGGAAGTGAAATTCGTCAATTGTGCTGCAGTGTTAGAATATGAAGATGACGAATACGATAAGTTGGTGGCTCCACATCAATTAAGCTTGATCGAGAAGTTCTCTTATGGTAGACCTAAGATGGAGGAGGTCCATAAAGAGTTCAAGAAGTTAGCTTTTCATGGGGGCTATACCTTGGGGCTTATGAACCGTAGGCATGTCCTCATTCGATTTGAAAGGGAGGAAGATTACCAACGATGTTGGATGCAAACGTTTTGAAACATCGCCAGTTTCTCAATGAGGATTCTCAAATGGAAGCCGGGTTTCAAGTACGAGGAAGACCCTCCAATTGTGCCAATATGGGTTTCTTTGTTTGATCTCCCCATTGAGTTCATGAACCCCGAGGTAATCTTCTCTATGGCAACTGCAATCGGGAAGCCGTTGAAGGTAGATGGTCCAACATTAAATAAGATAGGCCTTCCATGGCCAGATTTTATGTGGAAGTCAACCTCACTAAGGATTTCCCTAAATCCGTTAAGGTTGGGAAGAAGGGCAAAAAACATGACCAAATCTTTACATATGAGCATATTCCACATTATTGCTCTAAATGTAGCAAGATTGGTCACAAAAAGGAGGATCGCAAGGTTGGAATTCTGAAGACAGTAGCAAGCAAGAAAGGTTTGGATGGTGTTAAAAGCAAGGGGGTAACGAAGGTGGTCACGAAGGATTCAAACCCTAAGCTCTCGCAACCTGCGACTAAGCCCTCGCAGCATGTGGAACCGAAACCCTCGCAACCAGCAATGACTTAGGCCGCGACGGGGAATACTGGACCATCTTCTTCAGGGTTAACACTGGCGGAGAAGAGTCCCTGTGGATGTTCAGGGTCATGCGACTGTAGAGAAGGTCACGATTGATCCCGGGAAAATAGCCACTAAGGACGTGGAATATTCTGCTAACGCACGGCTGCTGACGGAAGTTAACAGATTCTCTGTTCTCGCGTTGATTACAGAAGTAGATGATGAGATTGATTCGGATGATGATGATCTTATAGAGCAGGTCTATGTGGAAGAATCTCCTAGGAAAGAGGAGGAGAACACAATGCTGAATGCAAACACAGATGCTTTGAAGCTTGCACTAGTACTCATCACAACGCCGGCGCAGCTGCATTCAACTAGGATTTTGGATGACAATGTTATAGGCCTGCGTAGCGATGCTGGAGAGGAAGCTTACAGGGATGAAGGCAGGTGGTCTGAGGGTGAGAAGGACAATGCATTGGTACAAGGAGATGTGTGAGGGGAATCTTCTGTATCTAAAAAAAGGGGCCGAAAAACAAAGGAGGAACACAGGCAAAAGTGCAGGCTGGTTTGGTCTTGCGACGGTCAGCTCGCCTCAACTAAATTATTACCTTAACTTTTATCCAATGATTAGTCAGCTAATTTGGAATATTCGAGATATTAAAAGTCAAGAGTCGCAGGGGCGGTTGAGGGCTATACTCCGAATGTATAATGTGAAGATTTTAGTTGTTTTGGAGCCGATGCTTCAAGTTAATAAATTGGAGGAAATAAAATGGGAGTTGCATTTTGATGAGGCTTTTGCATTAGGTAACTGTAAAATTTGGGTGTTTTGTATGAAGGATTTTGATGTTGCTTTATTAGATGATAAGGAACAAGTTTTGCATTTTGCGGTTAAGCATTCTTCAATTCCTAGCCCCTCTTTTTGTCGGCTGTTTATGCTAAATCCACCAGATTGGGGAGAATGTCTTTGTGGAGGGATTTGGTGGAGTTTCAGCAAAGGAATCCTGTTGTTCCTTGGATGGTGGGTGGAGATTTTAATGTGATACGGTTTCTTGAAGAATATTCGAGAGTCTCGGTTCAAACCATGCCGCGATGGAGGCCTTCAATGAATGCATTCAATCATTTGGATTGCTGGATATACCTGCTGTTGGAGAAGAGTTTACATGGGGAGGAACGAGACAAACGGGGTGGGTGAGCAAGAAATTAGACCGGGCATTTGTCTCGGAGGAATGGCAAGACTTTTTCCCAATTTCTTCACTTGAAAACCTAAGTAGAACAAATTCAGATCACAGCCCAATGCTTCATATGTTTGCTGTGCAAGGTGAAAGCAAACCAAAATTGTTTTGTTTTCAAAAAATGTGACTTCGTAGAGTGGGGTTTATGGAAGTGGTGAAGGAGAGTTGGGAGCAGCTGGTTTCTGCCTTCGGAATGATTGCTTTCTCCCTTAAGTTGCGAAGACTGAAATTGTGACTCAAGGAATGGAATAAAAATTGCTTTGGTGATGTGTTTTCTAACCTGAAGGAGGTTGAAGTTAAAGTGCAGCAAATGGAAACTCTATATGATGAGGAGGCTTTCGAGATAAATAGAATTAATCTTCATCAAGCAAAGCTTTTCTCTTGCTAAAGCTGAAAGAGCATGAGGATTTTATGAGGCAAAAGTTTCAATTAAAATGGCTAAAAGAGGGAGATGCCAATACCTCATATTTCCATGCTTCCTTGAAGGAAAGGCGCCTAAGATAAAGCATACATAAAATCCAAGCAACAAATGGTGAGATGTTGACGAATATGGTGGAGATAGAATGTGAAGCGGCTGACTTCTTTCATGATCTTTTAAAGATGATGCAACCTGCCATGAAGAGGCTATTCAGGATCTCTTTTTGCAGCTTGTA